AAAGAGTGCATTAAACATCATCCCAGACCTTATAAAGTAACCAGTTAATTGACAAAGATAGGCTCATAAACAGAGAAATTATAATATATCATGGCAGTACAGTAGACATATAAGAACAAAGCATTCCAGATGTTATTCTCATTTGTGACAACTATTATTTGTTTATTTTAAAGTTGCCTGGAGGAAATCAGGTGAATAGTTTTCTGTAGGAAATAGGACATGTGTAGGGATAAGTGCAATATGTTAGTTAGTTTAGTTTCTGACGGGAAACCTGGCCTAATCAAAGGGAAAATGACCAAACTGTAAAATATACACATAAAACATAAATAATAGGGAAATTATTTATTTTCCTAAATAACTCTGATCCTTTTTCCTGACCTGCCCTTTTATTCTATTACCTTACTTACTATCCTAGGGTATATCAGGGTTTCAGAAGGGAAAATTGTATAAATGAAAGAAGCAAGATACAGTACACAAATAAAAAACTGTAAAATGTCACAAATATAATCTGCCATTTGCACACTGATATTTAAACAATCTATTGTCATGATCTCTAATTAAACTATTGAAATCCTCAGATAATTGGCATATGCTATTAAATGTCCCTTGCAGAGATAATAGAGAAAAAGGGGTAAAATATAGTAGAAGACGTTTAAATTTGGTATAATGCTTCATGTTGCTTGTTACTGGAATAGGAAAAGCTCTTTAGCAAAACCTGAAGTGATCAAGTTACTAGCACCACCATTGCACACGGGTGTATGATATAAGTTACTGAAACACGTGACAAACATAGATTCTGACCTGCGTATTGCCTCTTGCCTCCAAGGTCAATGACGCTATTCTCCTCTCCTTTGTCAAGGAACTGGACTTCCTTCTCATGCAAAAGCTGCGCGATCTTGACTCGCTGCTGCTTGACCCGGGTCTCAAGCAGGTGCACCTGGGTTCTGAGCCGCGCCTGCTCGTGCAGGCAGCTCTCAAGAGCCTGCAGAGTAACGCGCATCTCGTTCTTAGGAAGAATAAACGCTCCGAACAAGCTGGATAAATTAACGATTCAAATTTGTCCCCAACTCCCGTTTCAGAATAATATTCTAACCAGAAAGTCGTTTGCAAGTTCTAACACTGTTTGTTATTTGGAGAATAAGAAATTATGGCTTACGGTAAAGTGCTCGAACTAAAACATGATATAAAATAATCTGAATGACTACACCAAGAGCTGTAGAGTGGTTGTCTCATTTGATCCTCGTAACGATTCCACGAGGTAGGAAGGGAACTTGCAATTTCTCAAGGAAACAGGAAATTCTCAGCGGGCAAGAGGAGTCAGGATTCATATCCAGTTCAAGAATCCTACTCTCAAACTCTACATATCACCGCCTGAGTGCTTTCTTAACAGGAAAATGCTTTACAGCATCATTACATGTGACTAGTGTGACAGTCTCTAAAATAAACAAGGCTTTTGAATGACCTTTTTGTATTGATATGTTTTAAAAATATATTGAATGCTCATAACCTGATGACACCTGGTCACCTTTCTAAGGGATGCTACTTGAGACCCTCAGATCCCTGAGTATCTTACCCATTTACCTGTTTCCGGAAATTCTACTGGAGTCACTTTACCTTTTGGCTTACTTATTGTTTTTTCCTTAATTACTTCAAAACAGGATGGAGAAGCCTGAGTCTTTCAGTTAAATTGTTTACTTTCTCTAAAAAAGGCAAATAACCCAAGAATATTGCATGTGAAAGAGTTTATCAGCTTCCTTCTACAGTGGCATCTGACTGAGCGGATTTATCCAGAGCTAAAGCAAATGTGGTGAGTTGGGAAGGGGAGTTGCAGAGGTGTGCCTCCTGGGAAGAGCTACTGAGACCAAGAAGCTGCAGTAAAGACCCTTAAGTACTCAACACTGGGAGAGTTACTAGGGGATAGTGAAGAGAAAGGACAAAAGACAAAGTTTTGCCTTTTTCCTGTTTTTACTTTGACAGCTCAATTTGCAGCTCATGTCATGATCTCCTGTGATAAGCATAAATGTTTGCTGAGAAATTATGAATTTTAACATGTAAGTGCCTTACACTACTTTTATATACATTATTTCCTAAAATGGGCATTTGAATACAGTCAGACATATTTCCCAATTTATAATTGCATAACTTCCTGTTTCTATCTTTATGTGCTACCTTGTATTCATTCCATAAATATGAGGGCATACTGTGTTCTGGGCACTTTGCTAGGCTGTCTGAACAGCATGCTCAGATATTCTGTTTGGGGCAAAAGAAAGAGGAAAATACATTGTCTTCCTATGAAGGACTATAACGTAAACATAGAAATTCAGCCTCTAAACTGAAGGTCATATAGCAAGAGAATGGAGAAATGATAGTAGAGGACTCCTCCCTCCTGTCTCCAGGCCCAAGTCACTGAAGCTCTCCCAGCTGTTTCTCTAGGACTATTTCTAATTTTCAGACTCTCTCTTCAACTCTCTTTGATTTATCCTCTCTGAACGAGTTATTTGCTTAGCCCCCTGAGTTATACCTATCTAAAAAATGAACAGCAAAGACATTTTATGGCATCTGGAATCCTGTGTTGCTTTCTAATAGTGGGAAATTGGTTGTGATATTGTTAAATATAGTGGACTATACAATTTAAAAATAACTAAAGGATTACAGGGCAAGGATGTTCAATTTTTATGTGACTACATATACAGTGTTAGTAAGCTTATTTAAAACTTAGGCGTTTTCTTTCTCCCAGAACTTTGAGTAAATGATTGTTTTTCCCTTTTTACTCATGAATGGAGAGAGGCACAAGTTCATTGCAATTACTTTCAAATAATCTGTTTAGTTTACAATGACAGTGTCCGATACTGGAAAGCTCAAGGTCAATTTCAAAGGACAGTTTTAAATTCTTAATATTATGCAACCACCCAAATAACCCCAGTAAATAAAAAAGATTTTACTTAGTATGAATACTGATTTTTACTTTAAAGGTATTTTTTAAGCACTTAATAAGTGCCTATTATGTGGCAGGTGCTTTTTCATTTTCCCCCTAGTTAAGTTTTTTCAGTGACAAGTTACTATAGACTTTCTGCAAAATAAAAGAAAATTCAGATCTAAGTGGGTATTTAAAACAATAGTTTTTGTAATGAGCTTACCCAGCTTTCCCTGCCCATTACCAGAACAGTGGTGAGAAGGATGAAACTGATCATCTTCACCATTTTTCCCATTGAAAGAACTGCAAGAACAAAAAGAATTTCATAAACTTAATTTATTGTGAATTTTTCATGAGGCCAATGGTGGCTTGACTCAGTGTGATCCAGGAGGTCAGACACAGTTCCAGGCCGTGTCTAATCTGAGAGTCGCCATGGAAATTCTCCTGGACTTTCCCAGGCTTCTCCCCACAGAAGGATGCTTACTGTTACCTTGTATAGAATTGAACCAGTTCCACAGCAAAAACAGAGGAACTCTGGCTCTTGGGAGTATGGAAAAGGCACAGCCTCTTTAAGCACAAAGACGTGGTTTCATATTTTGGCTCAGCCAGCTCCTAGTTGTTTGACCCTAGGCAACTTACTATAAAATGCTCCTGATCTGTAAAATAGACATCATAATTCTCACCTTATAGGACCGTGGTCATTTTGATGTAATATTTTCAAACACCCTAGCATATGATAGGCGCTAAATGAATAGTCACTCATTTTGTATATGGAAGGCTTTTTATTTTGACAAAAAGGAAGAAAGAAAAAGAGTTACAACAAATAGAAGGTGATATGCATTATTTTTCTCAGTGTCTTAATGTATAGGCAGCTACCAAGATAATATAAGACTTTAATCTCTCTTTAAAGTTGTAGAGGAAAATTAACTTTACCACTTCTTGAGATTATTTTTTAAATCAGTCTTGAATTCATGAATCTTGATGAAAAATTTTGTTCATCCTCAAAATAACTTCTGTATGCTGCCAGTGGTGAATTTTCATAAATTTTAGAAGCTAAGGAGCCTAGAAGGGCAGAAATACCTGCATAATCTTCAAACAAATTGATACCTATGGTTTTTGCTAAAAAAAAAGAACCAGAATCAACTGAATTATTTATTTGTCAGCCTATTTTTATTCTTATAAAATCTATGACCACTAGGTCCTTTTCATGTATCTCTTTCTCAATTTTTACATAATTTAAAAAGTGGTTCCTAAACTTTGCTGTCTGTTGGGATCACTTGGGGAGCTTTAAAAATATTTCCACGCCCAGAAATTGAATCAAATGTCTAAAGGTGGCAGTCAGGACTTAGAATTTTTAAAAGGCTCCCAGCTGATTCCAATGTACAGCAAAGTTTGAAAAGCAAGGATTTAGAGACTTAAGAGACAATATTTTTTTTCAGTCTATGCTAACAAAATAGGTAGTTCTCAGTCCTTCTGGGGCTAAAAAAAAAGGTACAGAATGAGAGGGGCACTACTTAAATTCAGGGACAAATAGCATGCATGGGCATCTTGGAAAGCACTGCAAGATATAATGTGAATTTCTTAAATATGTGAAATTTGTGCAGTACAGAGAGTAATAAAGAGTCTCCTAGATAAAACCATATAATTTTACTTCACACAGCTTTACTTCTGGCTGATGTATTTTTTTATTACATACCAAGCACTGTCCTAGGCTATGCATTTTATAAGCATCTTATTTAATCCTCAAATAACTCTATAAGGCAACTACTATTATCCTCATTATACAAATGGATAGATCAGAGAGCTTAAGCCACTGAAGACCCAGCAATTGGGCTGAGGGCTTTCCACCTTGAAGGCCCGTGACCCCCAACCTGTATTCTGCATGGCCTTCCTTTCTGTATACATATACACCTGTTATATATATATATATATATATATATATATATATATGTAGGGACACAGGCTGCACAGAGGTATAGAGGCCCTGCTACTTGGCTTTCTCCAGTGAACACCACTCTCACTCTTAAACATGGCTTATTTGTTCCTAAGTCATGTGCTTCTGCAAAGGAACATTAGGTCAACCTGGCAGGAGAGGACAGGTCTCCTGCCAGGTTGACAGGAGAGGAGACAGCTGCACTAAACAGAAGCAGTCCTACAGAATCGTGGCATCAACAAGCATTTATTGATTATTGGCTATCTGCTCAGCACTGTGCCACATGCTGTGGGAAAATAAAATATAGCTGCCACATCAAGGCAATGTTTTGGGGAAGAAATGAAAATAAATATTAAAAGGGAAATTAAAGACAACATAAATTTAATTACATATTGTTTCATGTATTATATTTCAATTTAATCTACATTAAACCATATGTAATTAAATATAAAAACTAAATTTTTCCAGGTGACCTCTCAAGACAAAATTAATTACTTCCTCCACTATGTTTACAAACCAATATAGCATTCATTCACTCAGTAAACACTGTTTGCATGCCTGCTATGGTCCAGGCACTGTGCCAGGTGATGGAATTATCACTTGATTTGTTTTTACATGTCTCTCTCCAACTGCTTCCTTTTGTCCATGCTATTTTGTTTAGAATAGGATTCTTGAAGGCAAAGGCCACACCTTGCTATAACTGTTGTATCCCTAGGATCTAACTTATTATTTCCCAAGAGGGAAAATCTTTCTCAGAGGGAAAAATATGAGTTCCTTGCCATAAAGCTAGTCTGTTTGCAGTGACATACTTCCTCTCCTATGCTTATCCTTGTCAAGGGGAAAACAATGGGCTAAGTATATTTTTGAAAATAAGTGTTAAGGTGTTGGGGGGCTTCCCTGGTGGCACAGTGGTTGAGAATCTGCCTGCTAATGCAGGGGACACGGGTTCAAGCCCTGGTCTGGGAGGATCCCACATGCCGCAGAGCAACTAGGCCGGTGAGCCACAACTACTGAGCCTGCGCGTCTGGAGTCTGTGCTCCGCAACAAGAGAGGCCGCGATAGTGAGAGGCCTGCGCACCGCGATGAAGAGTGGCCCCCGCTTGCCACAACTAGAGAAAGCCCTCGCACAGAAACAAAGACCCAACACAGCAAAAATTAATTATTTAATTAATAAACTCCTACCCCCAACATCTTATTTAAAAAAAAAAAAAAAAGGAGTTAGGGACTTTGGGTTGGATTGAACACATACATTTTTTTCTTTCTCACAAAACCCCCACTAGAAAGGAGAAAAGAAAAATGGAAAAGACATAGATTGACAAGGTGGAAGAGAAAGGGAGAGGAGAAAACACCTGGTATACAATGTCAACCAGATGACAAAAAGCACATGGGGGAATTGGCAGAGCTGCTAAAACTGAATAGCAAGCAGTAGCAGCAGGGAGTACCACAAGAAGCAAGCTACGTTGCATTGCAGTATCCCAGATGGTGCTGGCTTGGAGGTGACCACTACCTTGGAAGGCAGGGTGGAGGTGGTGGGCTGATACTCAGCTTCTCACCTAAACCCTGAACAGCCAGGTGAATAATGTTTTTCCCACCCCATCAAAAAATGAAAGGCTTCTTCTTTTTTTAAATATTTTTTTAAAATTAATTAATTAATTTATTTATCTTTGGCTGCATTGGGTCTTCACTGCTGCACGCGGGCTTTCTCTAGTTGCAGCGAGCAGGGGCTACTCTTCGTTGCGGTGTGCAGGCTTCTCATTGAAGTGGCTTCTCTTGTTGCGGAGCAGGGGCTCTAGGCGCACAGGCTTCAGTAGTTGTGGAGCATGGGCTCAGTAGTTGTGGCTCGCGGGCTCTAGAGCGCAGGCTCAGTAGTTGTGGCACAGGGGCTTAGTTGCTCCGTGGCATGTGGAATCTTCCCAGACCAGGGCTTGAACCCATGCCCCCTGCATTGGCAGGTGGATTCTTAACCACTGTACCACCAGGGAAGCCCTGAAAGGCTTATTTCTATTAAGGTCGAATCAAAGAGACTCCAGGTAGCATGACCACAGGTACAATGGAGGTCAAAAGAGAGACACTGTTCTATAAGTTTGAGCCCTCCCCAGGTTACTTCCATCCTGGCGACTAGATAGCCACGCAGGCAGCTCTAAACTCCTCCCATTATTTTTCAGGCCAGAGATTGTGTGATTCCTCTCTGGAGGAATGAATAGTGTCACAGAAAAGATCTTCAGAAGTTGACATTGGGAGATTCCCCAACAAAAGAGCTATGTTCTTACCTGATCATTCTCCAAAGAAGCCCACCAGTTGGCAAGCTTCTTTTATGCACACAGGAAAGGTACAGGCACAATATTTTGCTTATTTCTTTTCTGTCTGAAGGGAGGCTTATTTTAAATTACATTCTGTGTCTATATTTGCTTAACAGTTTAAAGAGAAGCACTTAAAGACCAAACTTTCTATATGACAACACTGGGCAGAAATCCATATGATAGCAATTAGTTTACCATGAAAGTATATAATTTACTTGTTATCATTTAACCCTTTTATCCAACATTGTAGCATATACCCAGAGAAAACCATAATTCAAAAAGACACATGCACCCCAATGTTCATTGCAGCACTATTTACAATAGCCAGGTCATGGAAGCAAACTAAATGCCCATCAACAGACGAATGGATAAAGAAGATGTGGTATGTATATATAATGGAATATTACTCAGCCATAAAAATGAACGAAATTGGGTCATTTGTAGAGACGTGGATGGACCTAGAGACTGTCTTACAGAGTGAAGTAAGTCAGAAAGAGAAAAACAAATGTCGTATATTAACGCATGTATGTGGAATCTAGAAAAATGGTATACATGAACTGGTTTGTAGGGCCGAAATAAAGACACAGATGTAGAGAACAAACGTATGGACACCAAGGGCGGGAAAGTGGGGCAGGGAGGCGCGGGGTGGTAATGGTGTGATGAATTGGGAGATTGGGATTGACATGTATACACTAATATGTATATGATAGATAACTAATAAAAAATAAAATTAAAAATATCCAACATTGTAAATAAAATAACCAAAATACACAGAAGGAAGTGAAGTGCTGAGTAGATTACACAGCTAAATGGGCAAAGAAATTAGATAAAACACAAGAAGACATACAATTGTTCATTACAGAAAAGTTCCAAAGAGCATTTATAGACCCATTTTTTTTCAGTAAGTCATCCTTTTATACATGCATATGATACAGTTTGTAGCAACAGTTCAGGAAAACGGATATTTCACTCTGTTATCCTAGTAGCTAGTTTTCTTTAAATTCAAGCATGTATTGTGTACCTGCTTTATGCCAGGTGCTATGTATACTAGATGCTTATACATATAGCTT